GGTAGCGGTCAAGCGTGAGGGGGTCCAGCCACCTTAAGCAAAGCAAGAACAGAAGTTTGCGGAAAACTCTATAGGCAAACAAGATATTTAGTTAGATTCAAACCCTGCACAAAATCTTCGTGGAAAGCACTTCTCCTTCTCGGGCGGAGCCATTGCTTTAAGAAATACTAGTTTAGAAATTTTCGTACCTCAAAAGCCAGATCAGTTCTTGCAGTAGAATTGTGCCAAGTGGAAAGTCGATCTACTTCTTTACGAATCAGCGCTAAAATCAAGTTGCGCCGCTTTAGGTAGTCCTTGAAAGCATTTTGGTTGTTGGCGAAGTCCTTGGTATCAGAGACGCTGGTCGAACGTCTTGACGAAAGGTTACTTGCTAGTGGCATCGTGTTCATCCAGAGATTGCCCTAACAAAACAACACAAAAACATGGCAAAATAATGGTAATTTAGCTACGAAAGTTAAGCAATAAAAGAAATAAATAACTGATTGCGATACTTTGTCAAGCATCTAATATTTTGCAACACGCTACTAGGGTCTAATGCCGAATGAGGGCGCTATATTTGTCAGTCGTGCATGCGTGAGGTTACTTAGCAACACTGTCAAAATCCTCTACATGAATTTGACAGCCGCCGCGACAAATTAAATTTGCTCATGCTCAAGGGCATTGCAAACGCATTTCCAGCCGTTCTTAGCGGTCCGAAAATCCCCACCTAATACCGTCTGCTCAATGGAGCGCTCAATCCTGAAGATCAGAATATAAGTTCAATCAACGAGTCAAAAGTGTCACTGATCACCTGTCATGAAACTGCTTCGTTTTCACAGTGTATGTAGTACTATATACTTCTTCAACTATTCTTGGTTTGCAATCAATCCCAAGAAAGCACAATAACAAAAGGGATGTCCGCCATGTTGGAAGATATAACAAAAGAATTCATTGAAAAATCTTGTCAAATTCTTCCAACATGGCGGCTATGACGTCTATTGCAAACGAAGAATATATTTGTTCTTTAGTGGATCAAGCAAATATTACAGGAACATTTGGAGTAGAAGTTTTAAGGTGCCTTCAAGCTACATTTATTCTTGAAAGCGCTCACTCACGGTCTTCTAAAGAAAATTGCATTCGAGTGCCTTGATTTCAAGAACTCTTGTAATTGAGAAGATTCTTCGCTTTGTTCGTAGTAAAGCTTCCAACGTGCTCAAGGAAATAAAGGCTCATTATTAAGGAAAGAGAATCAGGCAATGTTAGATTTCAGTTTCCGATCAATTTTCGACGGAAATGCAAGACTAAGGCGCCGATTTCTTATGTGTTTTCAGTAATGTTAGGAATACAACATGGCTACTATTTTAGCCAATCAGGATTCAGCTCCCAGATTATAGTAGGTTAACTGTGTTTGGCCAGAGAATGAGAAAGGAATGTAGAGCTCGATTTAGTGGAGAGGAAAGCGTTCGGACCGACACTAAGAGCGGCTGCAAAGTAGACTACACTGTATTAGCAAATATCCTTAAAGAAAAAAAGCCCGGTTTTAAAACTGGTTTCGTTCGGACGCCGGTACATATTTAAAAGAAACATCCTACAATGGCAGAGTCTATCTCCTCCCCGCCTAAAGAAGGGAGAGAAAGAGGAGAAAATGATTCTCCGCATCCCGGCAATCGACCAAAATATTGAATGTTGGTAGTTATATAACCTGCGTCACACCCGGAATTCAAAAAATTCCGAAATTCCGGATGTGACGCAGGTTAGTAGTTACATAAAATCCAAAATGGCACGAATGAACGTAATGGAGGCTATTTTTACTCACCTGTAAGTACGGGCCCAAACCAGTCTGTGAACTAGAGTACTGAAACCCAGGCCCAGCTGAACTTTGTTGGCCGAGCTGGAATGGGTCGAGTGCGTTCATAAAGTTTTTCATGTATTTCTTGTCAGATAATATTGATTGCCAGAACTTGATGAGGATTTTGATATCTTCGCGTAGTTCGGTACCTTCCATGACGGGCCACATGGGCTCAACGCTTAAGAGAGAAATAAAAAACAAAAAAACAAAAAAAACCCATAAAATACTAATTTTAGGATTACTAGCAAATAGACCATTTTCGAGTTCCAAATTACCGCTGGGTTTCTTGATTGCAGACTCATTTACACAGGGTTAGAATATTCACGTGTTCTAGTAAAGGTCCGTGGAATTTCAGTGTTAGCATTGTTGAAGTTGTGCATTCTTTACTTTACCGTTGGTATTTGTGAATATTGTTTAGACGCTAGTGATAAAAGGGTAAATTTTACACCGTGAAAAGATAAAAAAAAACTTACGGACATTTCGGACGTTTCCTCTTTTACTCCGACGAAGGACTAGCGTCCGAAACGTCAGTAAGTTTTTTTTCTTCTTTTCACGGCGTAAAATTTATTCTTTTATCACTACTGTTTCATTAGAAACACCGACGCAGCTCACACTAGTTTTTAGCTAGTTATCTCTTCTTAGACGCTGATACGAGGTTAATGTAATGAGTAAATGAGTCTGTAATCAAGGAACTTAGAGATAATTTGGAACTCGCACCTGGTCTATTGTATGCAAACATCACTCCCCGTACGTTCCTCTTTCGTGAGGTTCGCTCTACTCGCACTAACACTAGATTCTATATTTACAACATACAGCACTTAACTCGCATGTTCACCGGAGGGAGCAGCACCCGAGAACCCGGAGAAAAACCGGCGTAGCAAGGGAGAGAACAACACATCAAACAAACTCAACTCAAATATGTTCTAGCCTGAGCCAGGTCACAAACGCGGACCACAGGCTAATGGGGTTTTCGAAGGCTACGAAAAGAATTTATTTCGATGCCAAGAAAATGTTTTCTTCTAGAAACTAAGAAAAATTAATCAAGTCATAGTTTCTCAGGCCGAATAATCGCGCCTTAGTCATAGTCTTCAATGTGTACGGCTCATTTGAAGTTCGACGTTTGACCTGAACCTAATTTGAACTAGAGAAATTCGATCATACACGAGCACTGAAGCAACCATCATGTTGTTTTGCTGGACTGCTGTTGTGACCTGTACGGAGGATTGAGCAAAACTGACATCCTATACCTTGACTTCGCTAAAGCCTTTGATTCCGTGGACCATGTAGTTCTCCTAGACAAGCTCAAATCGTTTGGAATATCTGGGCACCTCTTCAACTGGTTTGGAGATTATTCTACTGGACGCAAACAGAGAGTAGTTGTTGATGGTGTAGCCTCTGACTGGGCTCCTGTCACTTCTGGAGTTCCTCAAGGGAGCTTACTTGGTCCAGTTCTTTTCATCCTTTTTATAAATGACCTTCCAGAAGCTGTCTCGCATGGTATAATCGCTGCTTTATGTACTGATGATACTAAGTTATACAAGAACATTACATCTGTTGAGGACTCTGAAAATCTTCAACAAAACACTATCCAACTTGCCAATCTGGAGCCCGCGATAACAATATCAGGTTCAACGCTACCAAGTGCAAGGTGTTTTCAATTACACGCAAGAAAAATCCAGTCAATTATAATTATGATCTCAACTTATCCAAGCTCCTCCATGTCAAAGAAGGAAAAGACCTTGGCATTATGGTCAAAGATAATCTTTCCTGGGACTCACATATTCACTTCATCATCGCCAAAGCCAACAAGATGTTAGGATTGCCCTTGTTAACGAACATCAAAGTTCGCAGAACCCTGTATTTGTCCTTGGTCAAGTCCAAGCTTTGCTACGCTACGGTGGTTTGGTCGCCGCACCAGGTCGCGATGTAGGCTAAAATCGAACGCGTCCAAAGGCGGGTAACTAGATGGATTCTGAGAACAAGATTAGGTGACACCAACTATAAAGAACGCCTGCAAGCTCTCCATCTGCTTCCCCTGTGCTACGACAGGGAAGTCAAAGACTTAATATTCTTCTATAAAGCTCTTTATGGACATATTGACTTTAACATTAGTGACTTTGTCGTCTTTAGTAAGCATAGTAATATACGTAACTGTCTTAATCCTAGATTGATGCTCAAGGTTCCTTTCTGTAACTCTAATACTTTTCAGGCCTCATATCGTTAAACTTTGGAATTCCATTTGTAAATCTTCTCCTTATACATGCTTTTCTAGTATAGCTACTTTCAAAAACCACATTTCAGTACGTTACTTTTCTTTACTTGATTCTGCTTTTGATATTGACAGGTCTTGTACATGGTCTGTCTTTCGACAATGTCCCTGTCATAGAGGTTAACCTCATAAAGTACACTAGTTTTATCTTAATGAAGTTATTTTTCCATTCTTATTTTTATTTTTACGCACAATGTTATATTTTTTGCATATATTTTTACGTTTAATTATTTCAACATTTCATGAGGTGGTCACCTCGCATGGGTCTCGTGTCCCGTTCGTGACTTTTCTTTCTTGGTAACTATTATTATTTTTCTATTCAACACATTGTAATATTAGTTTCCCAATAAAACTGTTTAAAAAAATTATAGCCGATCGCATCAAGCTTGTTTATTCGCTTCGTTTATAATGTTGCTTTTATTTAATTACCATGAAACTTTCATCAATTAGGCAATAATTGAAGTGAAGAAATAGAAAACGCGCGCGCGCGCTGTGTGCTGTAAAAATATATGCAAAAAATCTAACATTGTACGTAAAAATAAAAAATAAGAATGGAAAAATAAATTCATTAAAATAAAACTAGTGTACTTTATGAGGTTAACCTCTATGACAGGCACATTCTCGAAAAGCAGACCAGGAACAATGGTACAACCTTAATGGTATTGTGTATGAAAAGTGAGCAAAATCGAGGTTATAAAATGTTCGCATTATTTTCTCAAAATCTGCGCCACAGAGTCTTTTTAAGCTTTGATATTTTGTAAGTCATATATCATAGTTTGTGTAAATGAAGTAATTTGAAAATAAAACGAGGGAAACACACAGAATTTGTTTTTTTCTTACTTTTAATATTTCCCTATAACTTTGATTTATTTAACGCTATTTCAAAACAAAATTAACTATTATAAACTTCAATTATTGTCTAATATTTGATTTATAATTATAATTATCTATAACTTTGATTTATTTAACGCTATTTCAAAACAAAATTAACTATTATAAACTTCAATTATTGTCTAATATTTGATTTATAATTATAATTATCTATAACTTTGATTTATTTAACGCTATTTCAAAACAAAATTAACTATTATAAACTTCAATTATTGTCTAATATTTGATGAAAGTTTCATGGTAATTAAATAAAAGCAACATTATAAACGAAGCGAATAAACAAGCTTGATGCGGTCGACTATAAATTGTACCCAACCACCTTAAAACCTTCTATTCTGTGATATAGTCAGTATAGTACGAGAAAAAACTCAACTGTTTGAATGATATAAAAAGTAAAGTACCTATATTTAACGTCGGTAGTTCCTTCAGTTGAAATTCAACTGCTATCAATGGAAGCCGACGGTGCGCACTTTACCCCCTCTCTCCATCAGTGCTCTGTTTTAAGAGTATTCAAAGCTGAAGCTACACGGATTACAGAGAAGTCGAAAAAAAAAGGTGGAGATCCTAAGGATCGAACGTGGACCTCAAGCTCTGAAGGTCATATACACTTCATAAGAATCAAATAAAGGAAATGCCAAAGACACTGAAAAAAATCGTATTCTTAAATGAAGGAAAGTTTTATTTTTCTGCATTATTTATATAGTTTGAATATGAGAAGCGAAACGATAAGAGAAGGGAACAGGTGATGATAAAGGAGTTTCATGAATAGAGACAGAGAAAGGCGGTTTGGTTTAAAAGACAGAACGCAGGTGGAAAAAGCTTAATTGAAAACATCTTTTTATGTCAGTTCCGGCCTTTATCTGTCTTATTGAGCTAGTTGCTTTAATTATATGTCTTCTATTCATGGGGATTTTTCGCATTTATTTAAAATTCAGCGGAAAATTGGACGCACAAAAACGACAAAACAAAAAAGAAGAAGAAAAAGAAGAAGAAAAAGAAGAAGAAAAAGAAGAAGAAAAAGAAGAAGAAAAAGAAGAAGAAAAAGAAAAAGAAAAAGA